ATTTTGTTTATCGCATAAATACAGCTTCTTTTGTTATATATATAAACACCTAGCTCAGTACATGCTGGTAAAATGCATCATCTGTGGGTAGAAGTTCAGAAGCGGATTTATTGGAAGTTGTGATCAATTGATATCTCAATTCATCGAGGGTTTTTAGGGCCTCGTTCTTATTTCTGCATAGGGCCAATGTAAATTTGGTGGCAATATAAGGTTCCAAGATTTTTAGAAAATACATTTTTTGCCTTTTCATTTGTGGTATCGCATCCTGATTCCTGTTGACACATGCAGCGCTGGTAAACATTTATAAACTTCATATTCCAGTTTCTGCACTATTTATTGGAATAATCCGTTTTTTATTCCCTTGTCCTAATTCCATAAAAAGGTAGGTTTCTTTCAAAAAACTTACTTCAATAAATTCAGAATAGTGGTAAATAAGTAATATCAGAACATTTGCATCTGCAGACTTCACCAACACTTTTTTTTTGGTGAAGTATCTGATATTCATATAAGACGTGGAATATAATAAGTCGTGCATCAGTATCATCATGATTCGATTTCAAATCTTTCAATTCAGTTACACGGTTACACCATCCTTGTTGACAGAAAAGCATAACTCTGGATTTTCAAAATCACCAGCGATGATCAGAGTTTCTTCTATTTGTCAGCTAAATGTTCCAAAATATAACCAGTTACAAATTTCAATAGGGATTCTTCATTTTCTGACAATTTAAAAAAATTCCGAAACTTCATCACTTTTCTCTTTCCAGAAACTTCATACGCATACATATCTGCGAAGTTACTTCTTCTGCGTCTGTCCAAAGACTTGACCGATTCATCTATTAAAAACCACCGTTATCCTCAGTGCTTCATACCTTCGACCAAGTGAAAGAATTTGCTTTAGAAAAATACATGCGAGTTTTTAGTCCTTGAATACGTACCATGCCATCTGTTATAAGTGAATTGAAGGGGGGGGTGAGACCCAAAAATGAAGTTTCAGTGCGAAAAAATCTAAGAACAAATATTTGAACCGCATCTTGCTACGATGAAACGTTTTCGAGTATAAGGGTGGTTCAAAGTGACAAACGCCTAGGCTGTGACGTCACACTGGCTTCGGAGGCACAGTTAAAATATGTGTAAAATTTTCCAAGACAAAAGTAAACGATCTCACTTAAAGCAAATTGCAACCACTTAAAGTATAGGGCACGGTTCAACCACTGAACAAACAGAGGGCGGTTAGCCGGTGTGACGTCACAAGTTCCCGCAAAATTTATTTTCATGAAGAATTTTCTCGGATAGTATGTTGAATGGAAGACTGCAGTTTCCACGGGAAATCTTAGATTTTTTTTCTTGATTTAAGTAGCTTAAGTTGCTTTTTTTGGTCACACCTACTTTAATATCAGTTCGAGGTGAAGCCTGTTGAATACGGTTCAATCTTTGATACTAAATCAGACTTAGCTGTTTTTCGCAAACGAACCCACAAAACTGGAAAAGTCAAAAAATGCACCTCTCGATAAATGCACGAACAATTTCGTCGCGACGCGATTCAAGATGGGCTGAGCGCGATCCAGGGCTCTTGGATAAAAAATTATATTTCTATAACCGTTGAAGCTAGCGCCTTAATTTTTTTTTTTAAAACTTCGTCAATGTTTTTACTACATTTGATTCGATATATATGTATAGAAATTTTCAATAATACACATTGCTCGCCGCAGGGTGAAGTTTTAGATGCACGATTTTGATAATTCTATATTTCTAACTTTTTAACAAAAAAACCTTGAACTTTTTCGAAATTTCTGAACTGTCATTAGAAGCGCTCATGTTTTAAGTATAAGTGTGCAAAAAATCAGAATTTTAGATTGTATGCTTAAATTAATAAAGCGGGTAATGTTTAAAAAAACATAGTTTTTCAAATTCGAGCTCAGTCACGTTTAAGGGCCGATTTCAAAGTTCAGTCCTATTAAAAAAAGTTGTACAGGGTGATTCATTAAGAATGGCACTCGGCCATATCTCAAAAACTATTCATAGTAGTCTTGTCGGAAAAAAATTATCCCATAAATATGGCCAAGAGAAAATGCTGGAAATATATTTCAGCTTTCTAAAATGACCGCAAGGGGGCGTAACCCAACTGTCAAAGTACAAAAATGGTTTTATTTTTGAAATTTCAAATGGAAACGTATCTTGAAAATGCTAGCAATAGATTTTTGATGAAATTTCACGCAATTTTGATTCATGACTTTTTACCATAACTTATCGGATAAGATAGTTATGAGCTGTCAAATATTGCAACTTAAGAACACGAATAACTTCAAAACGACTCAACGAATTGGGTCGATCTTAGGTTCGTTGGAAAGACAAGAGTCTGTTCTTTAATTTTGTTGTAAAAAATTCCAACTTCAGATAGTTAGACTGACTCTATGGGTGGATATTTGAAAACAATCGAATTTTTCTAATTTTTCTTGAAATTTTCAAATGGAACGGTATATTTAAGATATGTTGAATCGATTTTTGAGGATGTTTTACACAGTTTTTCTTTATTATACCTTCCTTCAAACGAATTCCAGAGAGTGTTAAATTTAATTTTATCAAAAATAATCAATATCTATGAAAAAGCCCTCGTAAATAATGAGTTCGTTTTTCTGACAGTTGCGATTGTCATCATTGATGAACGTCAAATAATGAAAAAAGTGCGTTAGGAAATTATAGTGCCAGAACGTTGGTTGTATTTTCCTCGCACGTGGCCCTACGTCTTCGAGTGAAAAAGGGGGTACTACCCGTAACCTTTAAACGATTTTTCAACCTCCTGATGGATCTAGGGTCAGGGTGAGGTCTTTGGGGATAACGCCCTGAATAAATACGTCCTGCGATTGCTGCATTTCCGTTACATTCATGCAGCTCAAGGATGTCCTGTGCTTCTCCATATGGGAAATGCATTTTGACTTTAGAAAATAACGTTTGGAGTGCGTTCGAAATCACCCTGGGGCGTCACACCGAGTGTACACCAGCTATGAATTATATTACATGGCTGGTGTGCACTCGGTGTGACGCCCAGGGTGATTTCGAACGCACCCTTGAAGTTTTAAAAATGTGTCAGCCTGACATATTTAACTAGTATCTGCTCAATTTACGAGGGCTTTTTCATAAATACTGATTATTTTTAAGAAAATTAATTTTACCACTATCTGGAATTCGTTTGTAGGAAGGTATGATAAAGAAAAACCGTGTAAAACATCCTCAAAAATCGATTGAACATATCTTAAATATACCGTTCCATTTGAAAATTCCAAGAAAAATTGGAAACATTCAAAGGTTTTCAAATATTGACCCATAACGTAAGTCCTACTAACCAGAATTTAAATTTTTCACAACAAAATTAGAGAACAGACTCTTGTCTTTCCAACAAACCTGAGATCGACCAGATTCGTTGAGTCGTTTTGAAGTTATCCGCTTTCTTGAATTGCAATATTTGACAGCTCATAACTATCTTATCCGATAAGTTCTGGTAAAAAGTCATGAATCAAAATTGTGTGAAATTTCATCAAAAATTTATTGCTAGCATTTTCAAGATACGTTTCCATTTGAAATTTCAAAAATAAAACCATTTTTGTACTTTGACAGTTGGGTTACGCCCCCTTACGGTCATTTTAGAAAGCTGAAATATATTTCCAGCATTTTCTCTTGGCCATATTTATGGGATAATTTTTTTCCGACAAGACTACGATGAATAGTTTTTGAGATATGGCCGAGTGCCATTCTTAATGAATCATGGAATTTCCTATGCCACAAAGTGTCCTCTACAAGATGATATAGGTTTCATCTGGTTATACCTCGGAATCACCCACCCTCAGAAAACAGCGAGTTAGAGCAGTGATTTTATTCCACTATAATTCCAGAGGGGCTTTCCCAACGAGAGGTAGTTGCACTGGTTTAAGTCTGCCTGTTGCTTGGCTTGGCCAACTAAATATTTATATCAATTTATTGCTGAATTGCAATAAACATCCGATCGAATCGGCAATTAAATTAATAAGGTTGAATACTGGGTCCTCCTTTCCTAAGCAGCTAGTTGACAATATCATAAAACCCATGAATTTTCATTTTCCATTGTAATTTTATAGTTTTGATATAGACCTATTCGTCATGCAAACGTATAGGATTCATCAAACACATCCGCACTCCATATTATCGACAGCAAATTGTCCAGAAATTATTTTCTGTTGGTGTTAAATTCAACTTTTTTTGGGAGAAATTTGGAATTCATGTATGCATTGAGTGGAATAACTTCTTTCTCTTCAAATTCTAAAGGGTAGGTATTTAAATAAGAAAAAATGGTTCGATTTTGTTCGCTTATTTTATTATCGTGCAAACCTATGATAGTTAGGTATATCTTTTGACTAACTCCATCAACAACTAAAATCTTAAGAAAGTTAATTCAAATTCTTTAACAGTTTTAGGTATCGTAGAAATTGGTATGGCTGCAACAGCCTAAATATTTGAAGTTTGGCCTCAAAAATGTTTTTCATTTAAAAGTTATCAAATAGTTTTGGTCTTTTGTATAAGTACCTACATATTTTGGTTCTAGTTTACTGTAAAAAAGACAGATGTTGTAATGGTTTATTCTTCCCAGTTCCAGCAGTATCTATATCCTTAATACCAGTCTAATCTATGAATTGTACGAAGGAAAGGACATTATTAAGTTTTCAAATTAAAAATGTCACCATCTCCTTTATAGACCCCCAAATAATTCTCAACGATCGGTACCGGTACAGCACTGCAACTGCTTCAATGAGAGATTTATCAAATAATTGTGAACCTGGATACTCTATCATGATCATGTCACATCACAGATCTGTTTTCGATTGGCATAAATATTTTAAAAAATAATCTAACGAGTGAACAATTAAAAAATAACTTTGCAAGCTTTTAGTTAACTTTTGTATCTGATGTGGATTAATTAACATCTTTAAAACAATTATGTATTATAAATAACTCTTGAAATGATTCAGGTTAGCAAACTAAAAGACAGCATCGAAGTGCGATTACAAAACGACGTAGTGATTCTATGGAATGGTCGCAGCTTCCTCGAAGTCACAGTTCCACCAGTTTACAAAGGCAAACTCTGTGGACTTTGTGGCAATTTCAATGGAGACGTACAAGACGATTTACGGACAAAATCGGGCAAAACTGTAAGCGACAAAGAACTACTAGTTTTTGGAACATCATGGTGCGTGGGTAAAAAGACAGAATGCGCCAAGAAATACAAACAAAACCAACGAGAAAGTAGCGACGTGAGAAGCTGCAAGTATTTGAACTACGAAATTTTCTCAGCTTGCGAAAGCAAATTGAGCAATAGCAAGTATTACAAGGCATGCAAAATGGACATGTACAACTGCAACAGCGGAAAATGTTATTGCGAGAGCCTTCTGGCATACGCTAGAGAATGTGAGAGGCTAGGGGTTAATTTGAGCAATTGGCAAAAGTAAGCACAATAGACAATAATAAATCTTTGGAATTTTATAAAATATATATTAATTTTTCAGATACAGTAATTGTGATTCTCACAATCCTCAGCAGCGTTATTCAAATAACAACTACAGGTCGAAGCACAAGCATCATCAATCATCTCAAGCACCATCTTCTGAAGAAATTTTGAGATACTCACAAATTAATTTGGCCAAAATGAGGCCGAATTCACCTCATAGTTCCAGAAAACCCATACCGTTACATTAAACAATTGGTCTAAATGAAAGGGTTTGTTCCAGTGACTGGTATTGGTAAGCACTTGCGCATGGAAACTATGGAACGATCCAATAATAAGAGTCTTGTTTGTGAAGCTTTAGTTCAAATTGATGATGTGAATTGTGACATTACCAATGAGAATTGGATAGGTCTACGAAAATCAGATAGGGAATGTGTGAATCTACGACTTGATTCCGCCATGAAAAATTTTGTACAGTAAACAGAAATAAGTTATCAGACTGTTTAAAAAGTGTTTGCTTGACATCAAAAAATTTCGACCTATTCTATGATAGTCAAGCGCCAGTGATTTTTACGAGTTTCGTTGAACTATCCAGAACCAGTACTTTCCTATTCGCATCGATATTAACTGAGCTAGACTGCTAGTCATTTTCAGTATTTAAAAAAAAAAATGTTGCCTAAATAGAGAAAAAAACGCGCATACTTTGTATATTATAATATATCGGTCATACAGGATTCAGTTGAAGAATATGAAATATTTTTATTCGGCCCTTATAGTGAAAAAAAAAAAGTATTAACTTTATTTTGTAAAAATAGATATTTTTGAGAACAAATTATTTATATTTTTTTTTGATAAAATACGAATCTATTATATGTTTCGAGGTGTTAGTGCTGACGTGAGTTGACCATGTAGATGTATTTTTTTAAAGAAAAAATTAATTCAATGAGTGTGCCATAAAAAAAATTAATTGTTAATATGCGAAGGTTCGAAAAACATAACTTTTTGGAATAATTGCAAATACTAATAGGGCAAATCCCCTATTTATGAATTCAAGGATTAGGTTTTTTGTCTAGTTTCCTGCTGAATTCTCACAATACCTTGACAATTTTTCCAATTATTCTTAGTCTAAATCAAAATCTTTGTTGTTTATTTTTTGGTCAGCCTAAATTATTAGATAACATAGTAGTGTCTATACAAATTATTTCACATCTTTTGTTTCTCTAAAACGGTATTTATATTAACTTATTCATATAATATATGTATTCACTCTTTTGGAATAAACTGTGCTGAAAAAAAAAAAAAAAAAAAACATTTAAAGTTAATAATTTACCAAAGACAACTTATTATAAAGTGCATTTTTTTGAATCTTATAATTATTAATGTAGTAACTAGTAAGTTGATAATTGTTTAAACTAGAAACAATTATCGTTGTGTATATACGTTTTAGTATGGTTTATGTTAGTTGGTAATACATGCATTTATCGTGCGTGTTTTTATAGTTATATTTTTGGCGATCTCTGTTCTTCTCGCATAATATGTAGTAAAAAAATATGATTTTTATTGAAAAATAAAATTTGTTCCTAGATATATAGAATTTATGACGGATTGGGCTTCAAATCTCTATTATAAAATTTAAGGTTCTCATGTTTTATTGAATAATTTTTAAAGCATTTTTTTACTTGGTTCCTATTGTGTATTTTTGTAAATCAGTTTTAATATTTTATTTTTTTTAGGAGTGCCCTATGAATTTATTAGTGTTTTTAAGTTAGAATTAGGATTGTAATATTTTATTGTTTCTTCTATCCTCACTTGTATTGAATCAAATTTGTCATCTGGAAAATATATTTTTATCAAAATTATTGTACTTTATACAAATGGGTAGTTTTGTGACATTAAAAAGAATACCCACTACAAATATCTTATGTAAAATTAGTCCTCAATTTCTGTCCAATTATTTGATAGTTATTGAAGAACTTTATAGGTACATTTAACTTATTACATACTTATATATTATTTCTACAAATAGTTACTGTATTTATGTTTACAAATATAATAATATTTTTTGACATTTTGTTAAAAAAACAGCAATGCCTAATTATTAACGTTTATAATAATTTATTTATAATAGTTTTTTTTTTGCATTTTTGTATAAATTTGTTCTGTTGCAATAAGAAATCTCGTCTACTAAAAATATTTAATAAAGAATTATACGTAAAAAATGTTTTTCAATTTAACATTCACACTACCAGTTCCTCCAGTACCTACGTCGGTAACTGAAAGTCAAAGTAGATTTTGAGCAGAGCTGTTGTAAGTAGGTACCAAGAAAAAGTACTTGGAGTATTAGGTACAAGTTTCTTTTTTAATACGAATCAAGTACCAGTACAAGTATAAGTACAGAAGGAAATACTTAAAATATCAAGTAGATTTACTTGAATTGTCCAAATTCAAGTACAAGTACCAAATTCCACGAAAGTCAGAGTCAAGTTTGAGTATTTACTTAAACTTGCTTACTTGAAATAACGTTTACGTAGAAATACTTAAAAAATAATTTAAGTATTTTTTATTTCAAGTGCATATTGTTCGAATTAAACTAACAAATTAAATAATTGCTATCGATAATCTTAAAGGGGGTGTGACCCAAAAATAAAAGTTTCAGGAAATGAAAATCCAAGAACAAATTTTCAAACCGCACTAGGCTACGACCAATCGTTGCGAAGATACCGTGATATATATAAAGTTTCCACTTCTAGCACTGTGACGTCATATGCACAAACTGGGTCCGACAGCCTGCGCTGGCGCGCGTATTCTAATTGTTGCTGCATATGTTAGCTCTGTGAACCAGTGATTTTTAGTTGCCCACCGAAGTTGAACGTTTATCCTACTTGAGAAATGAATTGATCGACTGAAAATTACCGTTTTAGAACGTTTCTCATGTTGAATAGAACAGAGCTATTATCGACATTATCGTATTGTTTTTGTACTCTCACACCTATTGCTGCGTCAGTTTAAATAGGTTTTGCAATTTTTGCGTATGTTTATGACGTGACGCCATGAATAGACAGAACTTTATCTAGTCGTCAAGTAAATTTTGGAGTATTAAAAAATACTTCAATTAAAAATATTTACTTCAAGTAATTTCACTGGTACTTGAGTAATTTAATATCACTTAAGTACGTACTTGACTGATATTTTAAGTATCAAGTACAAGTAAAATTTGAAAAACTTAAAACTGCAAGTACAAGTACCAATGTTTCCACTTTGAACATGTATTTGAGGTGAAAATGGGACAAAAGGAGAATATTACATTCATTCCTGACATTTGTTTATTACAAATATATTTTTTAGAGGATAATATTCTATCATCTCTAGCATCCAAAAGTCAAACCAAAGCTGAACCGAAGCAGGGATGCTAGATGCTATCAGAAGCTGTGCTATCAGCACTAAAAAAATTGTACCAGAAAGTAAGGAAAAATTGTACTAGATTGGCGACATTGTGTACTAACTGAAAGCGCGCGTCAAATTTTGAAATTTGAATACAAATTCGGCTTGAATCAAGTCACAGAATAAAGTGCATATCTGCGTTCGAAACCATATTCGGAACGCCAATTTCTCGTTTGGCTTTAGCCGCACCGGAGTGGGACCTGGAACGTGGAACCCAATCCACAAGTAGAGAGAAGAGTAGAGCTCAGAACTCGGGTACGGGTACGGTACAGAGTGAAGAGCGACCAATGCTGCCAGATTTACTGTTTTAGCAGTAGATCTACTGTTTTCATACCTACTTGCTCTACTGTTCTACTGTTTTAACTTCTAGAACTACTGTTTTTAGGAGAATACAAAATTGTTTAATTAATTTTGGACGAGTTTTTTACTTTTGAGCAATAATTGGTAGTTTTCGTTACCGACTTCGTGCATTTCGAGCAAACGCGTAGATATGGGGGGGGTAGAGGCGGTAATTTTTTTAGGTAAATTTTAAAAAAAAACTTATTTTATTAGATGAAAGATATTGGGGCTTCCGGGTTAAGTAATAGTTATTTGTGCAACCAATTGGGAAAAGCACTATTTTTCGCAACGAACTGATTTCTGCGGAGGAAGCTATTTACGAAAAATAGTGTTTCCCAACGTGTTTCACACAATATTTTTTCTAATTTTGACCTGATGTGATCCTTTTTAATTCAAGTTAAAAATAGGATAAAAAACATATTTCGAATAATTATGTCTAATTATTGTCAAGCGTCAGGTGAGTTCAAAAATGTTTATTTGTTATTTCGTTTTTCGTTGCTACAGAAGCAAAAATTGAAAATAATACCTAATTATTATTGTTCTTATATAAACCACTTAAACTTTATCCCAACAAACACAGTACGTACTGAAGACGTACATTTTAGGTCCGTTTTACGTCGGTTCGTCGGGGATGTAAAAATACGTTTTGAGTACGTACGTAAAAGGCTGTATTGATATACAGCCAAAAAAGTACGTACTAAAAACGTACGTGAAAATCTATATTGTGTACGTCTTGTAAAAGACGTACATGTTCGTTTCAAAGACGAACAATACAGGACGAGCTGGATCATTCCCATTTATTCATGATTTTTTAATGAATTGCTGACTCGATTTCTGATAATAATATATTTTTTAATAATATGCAATTTCCAAGGAAAAGATACGGAAGTGATCCTTCCAAATTAATCTCTAAACCCTAAACTCAAAAATGCCGGTCAGGTTGACCTGGAAAATTCTTATTATTAAACCTTAGATCTAAACTTAAATAAGGCAGGTCATATAATCAAGGATTTATATTTCATCTAGGTACCTGACCTGTGACCCTAATAAATTGTCAAATGTTGAAATAAACATGAAATAAACCAATAGAATGGAAAACAGGAAGGGACGCCGGCCACTTGCATCGGCAGGGTGCAGTGTTGCCAATGACCCGGTAATTATCGAAATCTATAATTTTGACTACGATTCAATAATTGATAATCACAAGCTAAATCTACTTTAATTTATTGAAACTACAATTTCAATGCATATTTTTAAAATTTTTAGTTGAAAATTAAAAATTTATTTGGTTGGTGGTTTTGACGTTCCCCAGCTAGAAATGGATTGAGCTGGCAACACCGTTTGCCTCCTTTGAGTTGAAGCTGTGGTTGTTCCTGTCTGATTTTGCCTTTTTGGTCTTGTATGTGTAGCGTGTAGCTCGTTTGCAGTGTGGTGCGAGGTCGTTGTTTTCTTCTATTTTTTTTTTTACCAAGTAAAGTGACGCGGGAACCATTTTCTTTTGATTGCAGTAACGCCAGCAACGTGTTTAGCTTTGTTTTTTGTGTATAATAATACTTTTACCAAGATTTTTACTGTGTGAAACTTTTCTTGATTTGTGCCCGTTTACAATTCTCTCAATGTTTGTAGGTTATACCTACCTATTTTTTTTATGGCCGTGGCTAAAGTAACAGAGGTGTTACTATAATTATTTTTTTAAAGTAACATCAATTCAATGTTGTCACTGATGAAAACGTTACTTTTAATAGGAGTTAATAGTAACGGAGGTGCTCTAATTATTTTCTTGAAGTAACGTCAATATAGCAATATGTAGATAGGTAATTACTTTCTTTAGCAATTTTTAGTAAAGGTGATATTCTTGGTTCTTGGCATTTGTTTTAGAGTAAAAATGGAAATAAATAAAAAATAACCTGACTTGACTTTGAAGAATAGAATAGAATACTTATAAAACAGGCACAATTATAGGCAAGGCAGGAAAGACAAATTTTCTTATGACTGTCAGAAAGTGACAATTTGTTACCTTTTTTTCAGGTAGGAGAATAGTAATTTCGCCTCCCTATGGAGGAAAGTAAATTATTTTCCTTCCTAGGCAGAAGTTTTTTCGCGGTAGATTATCATAGTTTTAGCTCCAAATTAAGAAATTACCTATCTTCATTTGCTGAAAAAAAATGCTTGAAGTTGATGGCCATTATTTTATACCGCTAATGATTAAAAATGGAAAACTGAATTTTCACTTTGCACACTCATAAAAAGGTAAACAATCGAATTTCACCTGCAGAGGAGAGAACTATACCTACACTCCCGTTCCTTTGCAAGGGCATGTGAGGAATAGGAATATGGAGACGCCGTTTTTCTCACAAAATATTTGTATTATCAATATGTTGATTCAAATTTTTGGTTTATAAAAAATAAAATATTATTGTTATGTTGTTGAATATCACCTTTACTTAGTTTAAATTGCTAAAGAAAGTACCTACCTTTCTTTACATCAGTGACGTCATTGAACTGATGTTACTTTAAAAAAATAATTATAGTAACACCTCTGTTACTTTAGCCACGGCCTTTTTTTATATTTACTGTTGTTTAAGGTTAAGGTTAAGTTTAAGGGTATGTTATATTTTATAATTGATCTTATGTTATTTATATTTTTTAGTTTTTTAATGTAATTGTTAAGATATTTATTGTATAAAAATTGCCACTTTAAAATACAATATGTATATCCTGTTCACAATCCGATGTCCACAGGTTCAGGTAAATTTATCACCTTTCCCTATCAAATAGCATTGAAATGTGATTTTACCTGTACCTACCTGTGGACATCGGATTGTGAAGGGATAATTGTTTTATTTTTCGCTATAAGCTATAAACATACATATAAATACATATGTGTGATGTTTATGTTTGCCATATATTTTTGCAACCCATCTGAGCAGGTTAACTGAATAGGTACCTATCAAAAAAGGTGTAAATACAACATTTGTATTTACATCTTTTTGATACCTACCTATCCAATCAACCAGTGCCGGTGGGGTGTAAAAATATATGGGAAAACCCCGTACCTACGTCCCAAACACATCCCTAAAAAGCTATACTAAATACGTACGTTAATGTACATCCCAAATACGTACCTAAAGAGCCGTACTGAGTACGTACCGTCCGTACGTCCGAAAAAGTACGAATTATGGACGTACTAAAGACGTACTTGTGTTTGTTGGGATAGAGTACAAGAATAATTATTAATATATTTTAATTTAATGTCCAATTTTGGCCTTATGTCAAATTTAGTTTATGGTGTGAACAAATTAAATTTTCATATAAACCCACAAAGAATATAATAACAATACTTCAAGTAGTTTAGCGTCAAAATTTTCACCAATTTTATCTATGTATTTTTCCCAACTAATGGTGAAATTAACCTTATTTGAAATTAACTT